GAGGTGAACAATTAATCTGTGCAAGTTAATCCACTGAAAAAAAAAAAAATTTGTCTTGTAGTAACTATCCTCAGCCTAGTTTTCCACGCTAGATCTAACATTCGACCCACTTTTGATAACGTCTTTCTCTTTCTGCAGTCTATAAAGCATGTGGCGGGCAGAGGGGGAGGGGAGGGGAGGACAGCTGAAAAATTCACGCACACACGCGAACCGAAGTGCCATGAACATATGCACAAACTTCAGTATTCAGCACACAGCTCGTGACACCCTTCACTGCATCCTCTCTCCTTCCTAATCTCTTTTCTCCGCCTGCATTTATGAGCATGCACACGCAACAGAGACGCGTAGCTACATGCGCAGCACTGACTCACAGCCACACAGACACACGACGCGCAGTACCTACCCTCGTAATTCACTATAACAATGGCCAACATGTAGTCTTTACCCAGCATCATGACTGAGCAGCCGCAAGCAGAGAGGATGTCATGAGAAGAGAGAGGAAAGCAGAGGTAGAGCTGGAGAGAGACAGAGGGGGCGAGCGACTGATGGAGAAAGGGAGAGGGAGAGACGGGATTGGTGAGCATGCGAGAGCAACAGACTCTGTTTATTTGCTGTTTATTTTTTATCCAAATCTTGCAGGAAGAGAGATATCAGCTTCCTGTCCATCCGGGACACCTGATTGGTCACATGGCCGCGCAAACATACCTCCCTCACCCAACGATCATCACCCCGGCAACCCTGAGATAATTTTTCCTGCAGTGTCACCCGACGTGTGGTCACGTGACCTTGGTATGACAAGATGCAGAAACCGTGGGAGAGGGATGGATGTGCAAGAATTAGTGCAGATAACAGTCTGCTGCGGTGATGCCAGCTAACATCTGGGTGTAAAACCAGGTCGCAGCTGTCCATTACCCACCATGCTGGCTGAACAGACCTGCCACAAACCTGTGAGGTTTTCCTGTCTACAATGAGAGAGATTTTGACAGACACTGTGTCAATAGTAGACTGATTTGAGTGACAGTCTGAGTGACTGAGGAGACATTCAGCACCATTTATCCTTGTTATAAACTTGGGTTGCATGTACCAAAAGTGACTATTCACCCCATGTCATTCCAAACCTGTGTAATTTTTCTTCTGTGGAACACAAAAGGAGATATTTTGATGAATGTTGATGCTGCTCTTTTCCTTTTCCTTTTATACAGTAAAAGTAGACACAAAGCACATTTCGATGCACAGTTATAATAACAATAGCTGCATAGTCAAATTGCAGTCTTCTTCTGTCTGTCTAAGCATACATGACAATGTGTAATTTAATATTTTACAGATAAAATACATGTCACGCTACACCCCTGCCACCTGTAGTGCAATTAACATGTTGGATGACACAAAGCTACAGCTGCATTATCTAGGTCTGTCAAACTAAATTTCATTATGTTTTAATCCAACTGAATTCAGACACTTACCAGTAACCAGTGCCTGTCAAACTTTAAAAAAGAGAAAAAGCCCCATACAAATAGTTCATATGAATTGTGAGCTATAGTCCCACCCTGCATTCAAATATGGCTACTTCCTTACTATACAGTAGGCGAAAACTGTATGTGAAAAGTGTAGTATGTCCAAATTCAAAGTAATCACAAAACAGGGGAAAGTACCTCGATGATGTACTACTTCCACTGAGATTACAAAGTGCGCTCTCGTGGCCTCATTCATACTTATTCAAAAGAAGAGAGTATTCGATTTTGGACGCAGCCCTAGTCTTGCAATAAATTTGTGTGAGGAACAGATACATTTAAAGGGCTAGTTCACCCAACAAATGAAAATTATGTCATCATTTACTCACCCTCATGTCATTCCAAACCCAAAAGACTTTTAATATCTTCATCAAGTAAGAATGTTTGAGCTTCTGCTTCTCATCTTCTGCTTCTCATCTTCATAATCATCTGGATTAAACCATTCTATGCATATGGATTGTTTTTACGATGTCTTTATGAACTTTTTGATGCTTTGAAATTTTGGTTGCATGGACTTTCAGTGGAGGGTCTTACAGTTTGTGTTTTATGTGTTTGGAACAACATGAGGGTTAGTAAATTAGTGAACTGAGACCCTGTCCACATGGAGACGCGTTTAGCTGTATACGCATACATTTTGTATCGTATAGGCGTTTCGTCCAGACGGATCCGGCGTTTTGGGAGAGTGAAAGAGTGGATAAATCTATAAATTTGGATTTGGATAAATTTATCCAGAGTGGATAAATCTGAAAACGCCGCCCTTGCGTTTTCGTGTGGACAGCGAATCCATATATTTTCTGAAACGATGACGTCATCAGCCCACGTCTCGCCCCTAGTCAGACACCGCGACGTCACGTAACAGCAACAAAAACTTGAACAAACACTGAACGATTGTCTTTTTATTAACTAACATTAACACAGATTAATAAATGTATTGTTCCATGTTTGTTTGTATACCGCACGCAAGGTTTATGCACATAGTCCAAGTCTTCTTCTCCGTTTTTAGTGTATCTCTGTGGCAGAATTACAGCGCCACATGCTGGTCTGGCATGTATACTACATCGCTTTGTGACGGTTTCGTGTGGACGCAGATATTTCTTGAGACGAGGTGAAGAAAAAGATCGGATAGGGAAAGCTCTGGCTTCGGTGGACGTAGCCTAAGCCTTTAAGTCATTAATCACTGAAAATCACTCACTGCAACTCTCTCAAAATCTTTTTTTGTACTTTTTTGAGCTTTATAGCTCCTGGTCACTGTCCGCTTTCATTATATGGAAAAGAGCAGCATGGACATTCTGTACGACTTCTTATTTTGTGGTTCACATCTTACAGGATTTGGAATAACATCAGAGAGAGTAAATGATGACAAAATTTGAATTTTTGGAGGAATTATACTGCTTCAAAAACATTTTCAGTTAACAATTTGTACACAAAAAGAAGGTACACATAAATAAACAGTAGTAAACACGCTTTTGATAAGCTTTCCTCCACAGCCTCAAACAAGACACACACTGTGCTGTGTTTACCTAGATCCCACTTCAGTGAAATGAAAAGTCTAAACACACAAACACCTTTCTGCCAAAGCACTTCAGTCAAACTGAAAACCACACATACCACATGAGTGTACCATATCCACTACACAGGGCCAAAGCACACACACGTAACCACATTGAGCAGACCAGCAAGCTACACACATACACATCGTAAGGCTTCAAATGTGTACTACTGACCGCTCTCTTCTGGTGAGCCCAGGGATGCACTGTCCTGTGACAACGTGGTCCAGCTGGACTCCTCGTCACTGTGTGGAAGGTTCTGGATGCGGTTTAGTGCCCGGTCTGTCTTGGCTCCAGTCCGTGGTCTGTCTTTTTTCGTCTCCGGTGAGGAAGAGGAAGATGAAGAGCCGATAGACAGGAGGGGCGTGTCCTCAGGGCTGTGCGGTTTCCTTGGAGACGAGGGACAGGGATTCTTCTCTTTCTCCAGCAAAGGCTTAGTGACATTCTCATCCTGCGTGTCAGACAGTTCGTTTGACAGGTCATCTAGGCATGACTCCAGGTAACTCTTGGTCTTAATATGCTCGGGCGACTTCCTGTCTGAAACCATCTCCGTTTTCTCGGACAGAATGAGCAGGTCATCACAATTCTCCACGCGATCCTCCTCATTAGCGTCATCATCAATTAACTCATTTACTTCCTCGTCAACAAGCTCGTTGTTCTGGTCAAAGTCACTGTGAACGTTGTCAGCGTTAGACTCGCTGTCGAGGCTGAATTCCTCAACATTCCTCAACTCATCGTCGATGCTGAGCTCTGATTCGCCAGCTGTGTTTCCATCTTCGTCTTCTTCTTCTGTAGTGTTCTTGTTGTGATCCTGTCGCTCCGCAGCTTTACGTAACTGATTCACACCATTTTTGGCTAGTTTAGTAGTCGCTGAAGATGACGACGGTGGCGTCACACCTTCGGAGAGTCCCATCGCACTCTGAATGCTCGTGAGTGCATATTTCTTCCGGCACTTCGGGGGCGTGGCCTGGCCCTGTTTGATGACATCACCACTAAGCAGTTGATTGTGTGAGGAATGCAGGCTGAGGGATGAGGGCGGAGTTGCAGAGGGTCCGTTGCAATTAGCTACATCCACAGAGGGGGAGGAGTTACGTGGTGAGGGCACGCAGACTGACATCATGGCTAAAGTGAGGAAAAGGGAAAAAGCAGTCAAAAATCACACATAAAAACAGTGCATTCCACATCAGAGAGAAGTACAAAAAATGTAAAAAGTAAATAAATATTTCCAATATATTTCTTAGTTTTTAATCTAAGCTGAACTCAGTCATTTTTGGTTGAGCACCTCTATTTACCGAACTAAAGCTGCATTTTTATCAAAGTTTAAAGCCCTTGCTTTTTTCCAGATTTTGATTGACAGATGAGTAGGTGGCTTGTCGCGGTTGGTCAGGACGTGTCAAGACAGATTAAGTGTAAAAGGGGTCAAAGAAACCAATTTAAGTAATGTGAATCAACATCAACATGTGGCTCACCCATAATTTCCTTTATCAAATGTGAACGAATATAAAAAGATGATAAAACTGCAGATAGATCGGCACTAGGACAGAATCTGCAATGACGTTCATGAAAAGCTTATTTGTCTTTGCTCAAGCAGCTCTGCAGACTATGCTGCTTCTGTGCAACCAAACCGAATTACCACATTTTAAATCAACTTAATCTGGCGGAATTGAATGCGATTATAGCTGATTTACAACCCAGTGCTGCATACTATGATGCGATTGGGTGGAAAATTAAATCAGGTTCATGCCAAAAGATGAGCTGATTTTTGCCAACGCTCAAAGAGTGATTCACAGAGACACTACATGCACTAGGAAAGAGGATGTAACCAATCACACAGTAACCCAACATATTACATAAAGACAGATGGACACAAACCGGCCTCCAGACTGTGACTAAAAAAAATACAAATTTGAGATTTAATTATTATTTAAAATCTAGTCACCATTGGTAACCGTAGGGAACACTTTATATGCCTCCACATTAATTGAATCAAATAACATCTTGTGATGAGTCAGGCATCATACTCATTCAGTGAATTTAGAGCTGTTACTGAATAACTGATTTCCTCACAGAACTGTAAGTCATATTTCAGCTATGTCTGATATTAAATTAACTGAGAACTGAGAATGTGTACTTTAGGTTTGTCAGACTTTATATCAATATATTAACTTGTTAATAACAACTTAACGTAATTAAAGATACAGATTCACAAAAGAGTTTTACTGTAATAAAATAATGGTAACACTTTACAATAAGATTTCATTTGTTAACATTAGTTAACATGATTTAGCCATGAAAAATACTAACAATTACCGCATTTATTACTCTTAGTTAATTTACTAATGCATTTTTAAGATCAAAAGTTGTATCTGTTAACATTATTTAATGCTCTGTGAACTAACTTTGCTCATTAGTTCATGTCAGTTAATGCTTTAAGTAATGTTAACGAATCAAACCTCATTGTAAAGTGTTAAAAAAAA